ACTTGTAGGTATCATTCATAGGCTTCACAAATAAAAATGCTGTATGGAATGCAGTCTAGGCTAGGCCTATTAATATTCTTGTTACTCAATGTTTCGGTCGTATGTTCGGATGGACGTAGGTTGCATACGTCATAAGTTGGGGAGGACCTGTACTTTCCTGTATCATCAGTGTGAAGTAACTCTTGCGTTTACTTTCAACAACAGTGGAAGTGCCCACATAGATTCTTGAACCAATAAATCACATCTCTTTCAATGCATCATTTTAAATAAAACAGAACATAAGAACATAAGAATGTAGGAACACTGCAGAAGGCCTACTGGCCCATACGAGGCAGGTCCTTATCAAAACGATCTCTACCTAAAGCTACGCAAGAAATAACTCCCGTACCCCATGACACCAATCAAACCCAGCCCCTCCCACTCATATATTTGTCCAGTCTCTTCTTAAAGCATACATTACATTAATTCACATACATGTTAAATCATCAGATGAGAGTCTGGTCTGTCTTGGATTGTAATCAAGTTAAAAATCATCATGTCAAAAATCAATCTTCTATTTGTGAATTAATTGAGAGTCATACTGACTTTTCTATTCCATCTATGAACACAAAAATGGCTTTGGAATTTTGAGCAAATACTCAATATGAGTTGGTTGACTGGCTGAAAGTTACCAGTTTACTGCCAGTCATAAATTCTTCACCCTAGAGTAGGTACTAAACTCTTAGCATATATACACAAGGAGGTACATACAGTGGACCCCCGCATAACGATCACCTCCGAATGCGACCAATTATGTAAGTGTATTTATGTAAGTGCATTTGTACGTGTATGTTTGGGGGTCTGAAATGGACTAATCTACTTCACAATATTCCTTATGGGAACAAATTCGGTCAGTACTGGCACCTGAACATACTTCTGGAGAGAAATAATAATAATATTGTTAACCGAGGGTCCACTGTACTTCTAATTGAATGTTTTTATTTACTATCAGAGCATTTACATTATTAGGGATCCTCCAATTTTGCAAACTTTGCACCTTGTGGAAATAAAGTTTATTATTATAGTTATTACCCCTTCTCCTGTATAAATTACTAAGTTTAATAAGAAAAACTTTTGTTCTTCTGTTTATATCACCCTGTCTTGGCGAGATATGGCCGGTGCGTTGAGGAAAAACAGAATAATAATAATTATGTAATCACGTAAGTTATAGGTAGTAGGTTGGTAGACAGCAACCACCCAGGGAGGTACTACCGTCCTGCCAAGTGAGTGTAAAACGAAAGCCTGTAATTGTTTTACATGATGGTAGGATTGCTGGTGTCTTTTGTCTGTCTCATAAATATGCAAGATTACAGGTACGTCTTGCTACTTCTACTTACACTTAGGTCACACTACACATACATGTACACGTTTATTTATACACACTCATCTGAGTTTTCTTTGATTTTGTCTTAATAGTTCTTGGTCTTATTACTTTTCCTTTTATATCCATGGGGAAGTGGAATAAGAATCTTTCCTCCGTAAGCCATGCGTGTTGTAAAAGTCAACTAAAATGCCGGGAACAATGGGCTAGTAACCCCTTTTCCTGTAAAGATTACTAAAAAGAATAAGAAGAAGAAAATTGTCAAAGTGGGAAGTCTGAATGTGCGTGGATGTTGTGCAAATGATAAGAAAAGAATGATTGTGGATGTTATGAATGAGAAGAAACTGGATGTCCTGGCTTTAAGTGAAACAAAGCTGAAGGGGGTGGGAGAGTTTCAATGGAGAGGAATAAATGGGATTAGGTCAGGGGTTTCAAATAGAGTTAGAGCTAAAGAAGGAGTAGCAATAATGTTGAAGGATAAGCTATGGCAGGAAAAGAGGGACTACAAATGTATAAATTCAAGGATTATGTGGAGTAAAATAAAGATTGGATGTGAAAAGTGGGTTATAGTAAGCGTGTATGCACCTGGAGAAGAGAGAAGTGTAGAGAGAGAGAGAGATTCTGGGAAATGTTGAGTGAATGCGTGGGGAGTTTTGAATCAAGTGTGAGAGTAATGGTGGTTGGGGATTTCAATGCTAAAGTGGGTAAAAATGTTATGGAGGGAGTAGTAGGTAATTTTGGGGTGACAGGGGTAAATGTAAATAGGGAGCCTTTAATTGAGCTATGTGTAGAAAGAAATTTGGTAATAAGTAATACATATTTTATGAAAAAGAGGATAAATAAATATACAAGGTATGATGTAGCACGTAATGAAAGTAGTTTGTTAGATTACGTATTGGTGGATAAAAGGTTGATGGGTAGGCTCCAGGATGTACATGTTTATAGAGGGGCAACTGATATATCGGATCATTATTTAGTTGTAGCTACAGTTAGAGTAAGAGGTAGATGGGAAAAGAGGAAGGTGGCAACAACAAGTAAGAGGGAGGTGAAAGTGTATAAACTAAGGGAGGAGGAAGTTCGGGCGAGATATAAGCGACTATTGGCAGTACAAAGATGAGTAGTGGGGGGGTTGAAGAGGGTTGGAATAGTTTTAAAAATGCAGTATTAGAATGTGGGGCAGAAGTTTGTGGTTATAGGAGGGTGGGGGCAGGAGGAAAGAGGAGTGATTGGTGGAATGATGAAGTAAAGGGTGTGATAAAAGAGAAAAAGGTAGCTTACGAGATGTTTTTACAAAGCAGAAGTGTTATAAGAAGAGCAGAGTATATGGAGAGTAAAAGAAAGGTGAAGAGAGTGGTGAGAGAGTGCAAAAGGAGAGCAGATGAAAGAGTGGGAGAGGCACTGTCAAGAAATTTTTATGAAAATAAGAAAAAATTTTGGAGTGAGTTAAACAAGTTAAGAAAGCCTAGGGAAAGTATGGATTTGTCAGTTAAAAACAGAGTAGGGGAGTTAGTAGATGGGGAGAGGGAGGTATTAGGTAGATGGCGAGAATATTTTGAGGAACTTTTAAATGTTAAGGAAGAAAGGGAGGCGGTAATTTCATGCACTGGCCAGGGAGGTATACCATCTTTTAGGAGTGAAGAAGAGCAGAATGTAAGTGTGGTGGAGGTACGTGAGGCATTACGTAGAATGAAAGGGGGTAAAGCAGCTGGAACTGATGGGATCATGACAGAAATGTTAAAAGCAGGGGGGATATAGTGTTGGAGTGGTTGGTACTTTTGTTTAATAAATGTATGAAAGAGGGGAAGGTACCTAGGGATTGGCGGAGAGCATGTATAGTCCCTTTATATAAAGGGAAAGGGGACAAAAGAGATTGTAAAAATTATAGAGGAATAAGTTTACTGAGTATACCAGGAAAAGTATACGGTAGGGTTATAATTGAAAGAATTAGAGGTAAGACAGAATGTAGAATTGCGGACGAGCAAGGAGGCTTCAGAGTGGGTAGGGGATGTGTAGATCAAGTGTTTACATTGAAACATATATGTGAACAGTATTTAGATAAAGGTAGGGAAGTTTTTATTGCATTTATGGATTTAGAAAAGGCATATGATAGAGTGGATAGAGGAGCAATGTGGCAGATGTTGCAAGTATATGGAATAGGTGGTAAGTTACTAAATGCTGTAAAGAGCTTTTATGAGGATAGTGAGGCTCAGGTTAGGGTGTGTAGAAGAGAGGAAGAATACTTCCCGGTAAAAGTAGGTCTTAGACGGGGATGTGTAATGTCACCATGGTTGTTTAATATATTTATAGATGGGGTTGTAAAAGAAGTAAATGCTAGGGTGTTCGGGAGAGGGGTGGGATTAAATTATGGGGGATCAAATTCAAAATGGGAATTGACACAGTTACTTTTTGCTGATGATACTGTGCTTATGGGAGATTCTAAAGAAAAATTACAAAGGTTAGTGGATGAGTTTGAGAATGTGTGTAAAGGTAGAAAGTTGAAAGTGAACATAGAAAAGAGTAAGGTGATGAGGGTATCAAATGATTTAGATAAAGAAAAATTGGATATCAAATTGGGGAGGAGGAGTATGGAAGAAGTGAATGTTTTCAGATACTTGGGAGTTGACGTGTCGGCGGATGGATTTATGAAGGATGAGGTTAATCATAGAATTGATGAGGGAAAAAAGGTGAGTGGTGCGTTGAGGTATATGTGGAGTCAAAAAACGTTATCTATGGAGGCAAAGAAGGGAATGTATGAAAGTATAGTAGTACCAACACTCTTATATGGATGTGAAGCTTGGGTGGTAAATGCAGCAGCGAGGAGACGGTTGGAGGCAGTGGAGATGTCCTGTCTAAGGGCAATGTGTGGTGTAAATATTATGCAGAAAATTCGGAGTGTGGAAATTAGGAGAAGGTTGTGGAGTTAATAAAAGCATTAGTCAGAGGGCAGAAGAGGGGTTGTTGAGGTGGTTTGGTCATTTAGAGAGAATGGATCAAAGTAGAATGACATGGAAAGCATATAAATCTATAGGGGAAGGAAAGAGGGGTAGGGGTCGTCCTCGAAAGGGTTGGAAAGAGGGGGTAAAGGAGGTTTTGTGGGTGAGGGGCTTGGACTTCCAGCAAGCGTGCGTGAGCGTGTTAGATAGGAGTGAATGGAGACGAATGATACTTGGGACCTGACGATCTGTTGGAGTGTGAGCAGGGTAATATTTAGTGAAGGGATTCAGGGAAACCGGTTATTTTCATACAGTCGGACTTGAGTCCTGGAAATGGGAAGTACAATGCCTGCACTTTAAAGGAGGGGTTTGGGATATTGGCAGTTTGGAGGGATATGTTGTGTATCTCTATACATATATGCTTCTAAACTGTTGTATTCTGAGCACCTCTGCAAAAGCAGTGATAATGTGTGAGTGTGGTGAAAGTGTTGAATGATGATGAAAGTATTTTCTTTTTGGGGATTTTCTTTCTTTTTTTTTTTGGGGTCACCCTGCCTCGGTGGGAGACGGCCGACTTGTTGAAAAAAAAAAAAAAAAAAAAAATCACGTAAGTGGGAAGCAAAGCGATTATGAAACTATCAATACTGCTTCTGTTCTTTAAATCTGAAAATTAATGTGAAAAAGATAGAGATAATTGTGTACATTACCTGTGGATGAAAACAGGCTTCATCTGTCCCACTCTATATATACGATCACAGGCTTGTGCTTCAAGTTGGGGGTTCCAATGCATGTCAAGAAGAAACAAATGGTTAGCACCCACTAAGTTAAGCCCAACTCCACCTGCTGCTAAGGACAGTAGCATAACCTGAAAGAATTAAAATTATTCTCATTTTTTCCCTGATCAACTTTTATCTAATTGTCAACAGTAACTTGTGTAGTATATATATATTTCTTAGCAACATTTATAGGCAGGCTCCCTGGCCAAGTCTCGAGTCAAGTGACCAGTCTTAACTGATGCAGCTAGGTCATAGCCCCCAGCCTCAGATTCAACCAGGCATAAGTGGGCAGACATGAGACTGGACTTCCCACACTTACTAATGTAACACCTCTATATAACAGTTTACAGTTTTTTCTTTCTTTCTACTATCACTCTTCAAAAGAACCCCCATTACATAAATACTGTACTTTGACAGCAACCACATTTACTCCAGTGATCCCTTTCCAGGGCTCTAACCCTCATGACCTAGCTGCTGACCAACTAGTCAAAAAGACTGTGCTAGCAGCCCACAAGTTCACACAGCCATTAAACTATGGAACGGGTGGGGTTTGAACCCATGGCAAGTGTTTTAAAACTCCAAACCGGTACCTTATGCATTGGTCTGGAGTTTTATGACTTACTTGCCACGGGTTCCAACCCCACCCATTCTAGGGTTTGGTTGCAATCGTATTATTACAATTTCGTGAGACACAGCCATTCTAATTTGCCTGAGCTGTCACAATGATTAATATTAAGGAAGTACTGTTTCTAGTATGATGAGACAGTCAGATGTATCCCTGTTTGCTGATGTAAAACTAATGAGAATAAAAACAGGTGAGGACTCAGAAAGGCTGCAAATGGATCCAGACAAACAGTAAGACTGGTCAGGCAAGTAGATGCTTGAATTCAAATGCAATTTCAAGAAGAATGAGGAAGGAAAACACAAATAACTCGCACATAGAAGAGAGGAGCTTACGACGACATTTCGGTCTGACTTGGACCATTTACAAAGCAACTTTGTAAATGGTCCAAGTCAGACCGAAACGTTGTCGTAAGCTCCTCTCTTCTATGTGCGGGTTATTTGTGTATCGTTCCAGTCACAGTATTGTGCCTTTTTGTTATTTATGAGGAAGGGAACAAAAGGCCAGACCTCACTCAATGATTAAGATCTGGAGGAGAGAATAGTGCCTAGCATTTCAGAGGTTTGAATCACCTAATAACCTCTGGAGCCAATGCTTTTCTGGCATATCTAAGAGCGATCTTCAAAAGTCTCAACTAGTGTCATTCTGGACAATTTATAAAACATACATCACCCTGCCTCGGTGGGAGACGGCCGACTTGTTGAGAGAGAGAGAGAGAGAGGGACAGAGGGACTTTGATGACCTTCTTGCAGTGTTTGACATGAGAAACTTTGTTGATTTCCCTACTCATATCTCTGGCTCCTCCCTTGACCCAGTAGTGAGTGATCTGGCAGAAGGCATAGTCACTTGTCAACCCCTCGGGTACGTTGGATCGTCTGACCACAAGGCTGTTTTTACCACACTTAAGATCCCAACAGAACGAGGTGAGGAGTCCACACGCACAACCTGGCTATGGGAAAGAGGTAATTGGCCAGCCCTTTGCTCTGAGCTCGCCACCACCGACTGGAATGCTCTTCTCCAGGGGGATGTTGACAACCAAGTGAAAGCCTTCACTGGACACATCCTTAATCTGCAACAAGAACACATTCCTCACCGGCAATATGTGACAAAGCCTACAGATCAGCCTTGGTTTGGCTTTCGTTGTAGAGAGGCTGCTACTGCTAAGTACAAAGCATGGCGAAGGTATAAGAGACATCCTACCACCTATAACAGGAACTTGCACATGCAAGCCTGTAGGCATATGGGTGATGTTCAAAAGTGGGCCATTGCTAAATGGGAGTTGGACACTAAAAGAAAGCTAGCATCAGGTAGGGTAGGCTCCAAAACCTGGTGGTCCCTGGTCAAGGACAGACAAGGTTATCTGCCTGATGAACTTATTCCACCTCTAAATCGACAGGATGGGACCACCTCTACTAGTAGTCAAGAGAAAGCGGACCTCTTTGCTGAACACTTTGCTACCAAAATGCAAGTTCCTGATCCAGCAAGGGACCCTCCTTGGCTAGCTGCAAGAACTGTGTCAAAACTGTCAGGGGTGACAATAAGGCAGGAGGAGATGCATTTCCTTCTTAAATCACTTGACCAAGAAAAGGCTGTGGGCCCAGACAAGTTGAGCCCAAGATTGTTGAGAAGATGTGCAGACCAGCTAGCAGCACCTCTAACTCGCATCTTTCAGCACTGCCTAGTACAGTGCAAATGGCCCTCTCCATGGAAAGAGGCAAATGTAGTCCCTGTTCACAAAAAGAAGAGCAGAGCAGAAATCAGCAACTACAGACCAGTGTCACTCCTGTCAATCACTGGTAAGATCCTTGAGACAATAATCTCAAGACAAATGACAGATTTTTTTGACTACCACTCACTACTTTGTGATCGTCAATATGGCTTCAGGAAAGGTTACTCTGCTGCTGATCTGTTGTTAAACCTCTCCACTAAGTGGCACCAGTCACTGGATGAATCCAAAGTCAGCTGTGTGGTAGCACTGGACATTGCTGGCGCTTTCGACCGGGTGTGGCACCAGGGCCTCTTAGCAAAACTTCAAGCACTGGGAATTGCAGGCTCTACGCTATGTCTCCTCAGTGATTACCTTCATGGTAGATCTCTAAGTGTAGTCCTCAATGGAACGGAATCAGCAAGACATCCTATTGGGGCAAGCGTTCCACAAGGAAGTGTGCTGGGTCCACTGTTATGGAATGTCTACTTCAACGACCTTCTTCATCTCATCCCAGAATCACATGCATATGCAGACGACTGTACACTGACATTCACTTATCCAAGAGAAGAAATGCCAGCTGCTCTAAGCTACATCAATCACCAGCTGAGAGCTATATCAGCTTGGGGAAATAGATGGCAAGTAACATTTGCACCTGAGAAAACGCAAATGATGATCGTCTCTAGGCACCATGATGGTAATGCTGGTGCAGTAGTAAGGATGAATGGGAGGATGTTGGCACCTGGAGAAGAAGTTGATATCCTTGGGGTGAAATTTGACTCCAAACTAACCATGAAGAACCATGTTGTAAATCTTGCAAACAAGGCAGCCAGGAAGCTTACAGCACTTCGCCGTATCTCGCATCTGCTTGACAGTAGGGGTTGCAAGATACTGTACGAGGCACAAGTACGCTCACACCTTGAGTATGCTCCACTTTCTTGGTTTGCCTGTCCCCCCTCTCATCTGCGACTGCTTGACAGAGTAGAGAACAGAGCAAGACGTCTCATCTCTCGCCTGGACCCATCCTGGATGGATCTGTCATTTCAGCAGAGCCTTCAACATAGGAGGGATGTGGGTGGCCTTACTGTTATGTACAAGGCCAATATTGTCAAAATACCACACTTGGATCCACTTCGAGGACAGCGCGAAACAAGCTTTTATGCCACAAGACGGGCAGAAAGCAGCAACTTCACTCTGGCTGTACCCTTCTCCAGAACATCACTCCATCTGAGATCATACATACCCAGGATGACTCGAGTATGGAACACATTCGTTCAGCATAATGATGTCAACGAGATAACGTCAGTTGATCAAATGAAAATGCTGGCCCACAGATGGCTCCAACTTCATCCTGTTCCCTACTTGTATGTCTCATAACAATAAAAATGCTTTCAAATGAGCTGATGTAGGTAACAGCTCTTAGCTTGTCAATAAAGTTAGGAATCCTTAACCTGTAAATAGCTTGTCAATAAAGCTAGGGATCCTTAACCTTGTCAAACCATGTGTAAAAAAAAAAAAAAAAAAAAAAAAAAAAGAGAGAGAGAGAAAGAGAGAGAGAAAGAGAGAGAAAGAGAAAGAGAAAGAGAAAAAGAGAAAAAGAGAGAAAGAGAGAAAGAGAGAAAGAGAGAAAGAGAGAAAGAGAGAAAGAGAGAAAGAGAGAAGAGAGAAAGAGAAAGAGAGAGAGAGAGAAAGAGAGAAAGAGAGAAAGAGAGAAAGAGAGAGAGAGAGAAAAGAGAGAGAGAGAGAAAGAAGAGAGAGAGAAAAAGAGAAAAAGAGAAAAAGAGAAAAAGAGAAAAAGAGAAAAAGAGAAAAAGAGAAAAAGAGAAAAAGAGAAAAAAGAGAAAGAGAAAAAGAGAAAAAGAGAAAAAGAGAAAAAGAGAAAAAAAGAGAAAAAGAGAAAAAGGAGAAAAAAGAGAAAAAGAGAAAGAGAAAAGAGAAGAAAAGAGAAAAAGAGAGAAAAGAGAGAGAAAAAAATGAGAAGAGAAGAAAAAAGAGAAAAGAGAGAAGAGAGAAGAGAGAGAAGAGAGAGAAAGAGAAAAATCAGGACCTACTCGGAGAACAGTAAGAGCGGTAATGGAACCACGACACTGAGGAAGCATGTTAGTAAACTGGAAAAAGTGCAGATGTAACAATGTTTATTCCTGAGCGAAGGAGCATGAGCCAAAAGAAATGAATCTACTGATACTGGAGGACAGAAGAACCAGAAGAGTCATGATGACAACATACAAAATACTCGAGAGAAACTGACAGGATAGACAAGGATAACATATTTGAGAGAGAAATTCGAACCCTGGGACACAAACGAGCCACAGGGATGTCAATGAGTACCGTATATTATGGCGAGCAAGATGCTCTGGTGTTGAGGATGCCCCTTCTCAATTCTGACTGGATAAATTTTGAAAAAAAGCTAAATGGTATCCATGGTAATAACAGTAATAAAGTTATGTTAAGCCTGAGACGTTACATATAAAACACACGTTGATGGTTCGTTCTGCGGTTATTTATCACTGATGCCTCTGACTAGAAGGTTTGCCAGTCAGCTGCGTCAGCTAAAATGCTCTACATCTATGTGTAACAGTGATAAGAAACACACCAGTATACAGGCTATTATTCTAAATCTACTAAATCCCAGTCCTGAGCTTAACCCTTTCGGGGTTTCGGCCATACTAGTACGGCTTACGCGCCAGGGCTTTTGACATACTAGTACGCATAAATTCTAGCGCCCTCAAATCTAGCAAGAGAAAGCTGGTAGGCCTACATATGAAAGAATAGGTCTATGTGGTCAGTGTGCGCAGTATAAAAAAAATCCTGCAGCACACAGTGCATAATGAGAAAAAAAACTTTGACCGTGTTTTTGGTTTAAAACAGCGACTTTGCACTGTATTTTCATATGGTATTTATGGTTGTATTCTAGTTTTCCTGGTCTTATTTTATAGAATGGAAGACATATTACAGAAATTGAGATGATTTTGATTGGTTTCACTATGAAAAGTACCTTGAAATTGAGTTCGAAGTAGCACAAATGTTCGATTTTTGCCAAAGTTCAAAAGTAAACAAATAATGCCACACGTCCAATACACATCAACTGGCGAGTCTAATATTCTTTCACAAGTGCGCTGATATTATTTATACCATTTCTACACTAATACAGTAGTCTGCATAACAGTAAATCTTCTATTTTTTGTGAGAATAAAAATTCAAAGTGGAAAGCAAAAGAAATGTAAGAGGGGCATGACTAATGAACAGAGGAAATGTTATTTTAGTGCCAGGAATGTCTGTCTTGTTTATTCTGGACCCTATTTGGAAATTGACATCTGAAATTTCAGTGAAATTGGCAAAATTGCTAAATTCTGACCACTTAATTGGATAGTTGAAATCGGTAAATGGGTGGCTTCTTGTACTCATTCGATAGAAAAAAATAGAGTTCTAGTGAAATAGTTATGATTTTTGTTGACTAATACACTGGAATTGGCCGAAAATAAGGCTCAAAGTGGGCAAAATCGCTGATGCGTAAACATCGTCGAGACTGCTAACATCGAGAGAGCATAATTCCCTAAGGTTTGGTGTCATTATGATCAGAAAAAGATTATCTATCTTTTCATAAGAAAAAATATATATATATATATATTTTTTTAAATTTTGGCGACCCTGAGAAGTCTCTGAGAGGGCCTGGCGACCCTTAAAGGGTTAAAGGGTTCTTACATCCAGAACTGTCAGCCAAATGCTCTTTGCAGAGTTAACTTAAATGGTCAACTACTCTTAATGAACAAAGTTCAGCAATGAACAAAGACATATATCCCTCTGTTTTTCTTACATCACCACTCGGGTTTTCAAATTACTAAGTTTATTTAGGTACATGTACACACAAATACAGTTACATAAATTATCATACATAGTAACATGTGTAAATTACCCACAGGATAACCAAAAAAGTCAAGACAAGTAACTTACTTCAATTGGGGTCCTTGATTTCCATTGTTTTTTTTACTAAATGGTTCTTCAATCTTCTTGTGCTTGGCAGTATTTTTGTGCCTCAATGTCACTCAATTTAGCTGCAGCTGAACATTTGCAGGACACTATCACTCCTACGAGTCAGGTACAATATGCGAACCAGTACAGCCTCTCCTCACTTAACGACAGAGTTCCGTTCCAAAGATCATTTCGTTAAACGAATTCATTGCTAAGTGAGGAGCATACTATAATGGTAGTGAGTTTGTGTTAACCATCTCTGATATGTTTATAAGGTCACCTTTGTACCATTTATAACATTTCTGGTATATTTTTAAATGATTATACAATACAGTGGACCCCCACTTTACGATCAGCTCCCAATGCGACCAATTATGTAAGTGTATTTATGTAAGTGCGTTTGTACGTGTATGTTTGGGGGTCTGAAATGGACTAATCTAATTCACAATATTCCTTATGGGAACAAATTCGTTCAGTTATGGCACCTGAACATACTTCTGGAATGAAATAATATCGTAACCCGGGGGTCCACTGTATTGTACTGCATATTGTAATGAACAGAATAGAGATAAGCAGCTCTAACATACATTATTTAGGTATGGATACTAGTTAGAGCACCCATCATATGTCCAAGGCATCAGTAAACAAGCAAGACACTAAGTGAGGAGAGGCTGTACTTGACTGTGCTCTTTTTCTACTTACTGTCTTGATGTGTGCAAGAGGATGTGGCTACAGTCAGGACTTCATATTGATTTGTGATTGTTTTTTCATGCATTTTAAATTTTTTTAATGTTTTTAAGTTAATCAATTTTACTATTTAATCAGAGTACATTTATACTGCAATACAAGAAAAAGTATTTGAGGTGGTCAGTCCCTCAGCTTGAAGGCTGAGGGACTGACTACCTCAAATACTTTTTCTCCAAAGAGAATGGACTGATTACATAATTTTTATTTCATTTCTACTACTCCCTTTGTATCTGACTGAAGAAGGCTACTGTGTAGGCAAAATGTTTTATCAATAAACACATGTCAGCATGCATTTGCAAAGATGGTAACTGACTGAATGACAGTAAGTGTGTTATTTTTGGGTCTCCCTCTCTTGGTGAGAGAAGACCGTTTAGAAGCTAAAAAAGAAACAAAAAATGAAGGCTATTAGGTAATACTGTGTTGTTCAGGATAATGTATGCCCTGTGACATCTTTTCAACTATTCTTTCTGGTACGGAGACTTAGCTATGCCATGGAAGATAACTCTGAAAACATCGTAATTTCATTTCTGGTATATCTGACCAAGATGTAGCAAAATATGGGTGAAACACTGAATTTATCAGGGTAGGAGTGACATACATGATAAAAACATCAGTTTGATTTCGACACAAGGGCTTAAGGGCAAAACAGATTTTGAAGACGCTGTCAGCTGAGTACTTTAAACCAGGGGTTCCTAACCCTTAAACTGTCCAAACACAGATCTACGTTCATGTGCGTAGCACTCCGGCCTTTATTTTCCCCATTTGAGCACGTAAAAAAACGTAGATCTACGTTCGGAGCCCCCTGCACGTGGACATAGATCTATGTTTGGACAGTTTACGGGTTAACTAGGGGTATAATAACCAAATACTGGGGGTATGGGACTTGATCTCTGAACAGTTTTTAAAAAAAGTTGTTAGATTAGAATACACTATCAACTGTTCTGCTCCTAGTTATCCATTTTTTTTTTCAACAAACTGGCCGTATCCCACCAAGGCAGGGTGGCCCAAAGAGAAAAAGAAAAGCTTCTCTCTTTAAATTTAATAATCTATACAGGAGAATGGATTACTAGCCCCTTGCTCCTGGCATTTTAGTCGCCTCTTACAACACGCATGGCTTACGGAGGAAGAATTCTGTTCCACTTCCCCATGGAGATGAGAGGAAATAAAAGAAAACCCAGAGGAGTGTGTATATATATGCTTGTACATGAATGTGTAGTGTGACCTAAGTGTAAGTAGAAGTAGCAAGACGTACCTGAAATCTTGCATGTTCATGAGACAGAAAAAATGACACCAGCAATCCTACCATCATGTAAAACAATTACAGGCTTTCGTTTTACACTCACTTGGCAGGACGGTAGTACCTCCCTGGGTGGTTGCTGTCTACCAACCTAGTACCTGCCATTATGTACATACATATATATATATATATGAAAGATTCTCCATGGCGAAGTGGAGAAGAATTCTTCCTCCATAAGTCATGTGTATTGTAAGAGGTGACTAAAATCTTGGGAGCAAGGGGGCTAGTAACCTCTTCTCCTGTATACATTACTGAAGTTAAAAAGTGGAACTTTAGTTTTTTTTTTTTTGCCACCCTGCCTCAGTGGGATATGGCCGGTTAATTGAAAGAAAAAAACTTTCAGGTCACCTGCCTCAGTGGGAGATGGCTCGAGTTTAAACAAAAAAAGCCACTGAAATTGCTTCCTTGTGCACAGTTCTACTTTTGTCACCCTGCTAAACATTGACTGTAGTCTACATCAAGGTAATTCCTTCAAGATTAAATAGGTGAAAATCTCAAGAGTAAGGAGAGTACTGTTAAGAAAAAAGATTTTCAGCCTACTGATAACTATAAATTTTTTAACATACCTGAGCCCCATTGGGATTCGAGTTGAAATCATCAACAATGGCTGAACGTTCTTTAACCAGGACTTGACCTGATATAGTGAGGCACTTGATGCCAACACACCTCAGATGATTATGTACGATATCTAACATTGACGTCCACTGTGACACCACCACAGATTTCTCTTTAGTCTCTAATCTCTGTATTTTCTTGATCTCTTTGATGAGCTGAGCAATCTGAGTGAAGAATAATGCTTAAATTTATTATTTATGTACCTTTAATGTTCTAAGATACTTCTTTTTTTTTTTAACAAGTCGGCCGTCTCCCACCGAGGCAGGGTGACCCAAAAAAAAGAAAGAAAATCCCCAAAAAGAAAATACTTTCATCATCATTCAACACTTTCACCACACTCACACATTATCACTGCTTTTGCAGAGGTGCTCAGAATACAACAGTTTAGAAGCATATACGTATAAAGATACACAACATATCCCTCCAAACTGCCAATATCCCAAACCCCTCGTTTAAAGTGCAGGCATTGTACTTCCCATTTCCAGGACTCAAGTCCGACTATATGATATAAGATATAAGTAAATAATAATTGTTGCCATTGTAGTCTTAAGTCGGCCTGAAATATTCTGCATAATTATGGGCTTTCTGCATGAACAATCAACTGTCACCCATCACTGTATATTATATCATGTGGAAATACATCTTTGATTTTGAATAACGAGATCATTACCAGCAGATGTACATCTAAAATCTAAATAAGCCAAGTCAACGATAAAACGACTACTACTATTTATTTAATACACCTTTAACGGGTTTCTTGAGTGTTGCTACTCCTGCAGCCCGGCCTGGGGTCAGGCCTGTCCCTATTATTTAAAATTCAAGACACATTTTTACAAACAGTTACCTAACACTGTATTATACACAATACACAAGTAACCCACACATAAAAGAGAAGCTTACGACGACGTTTCGGTCTGACTTGGACTTTGTAAATGGTCCAAGTCGGACCGAAACGTCGTCGTAAGCTTCTCTCTTTTATGTGCGGGTTATTGTGTATCGTTCCAGTCACGGTATTGTGCCTTTTTTTTTTTTATCTAACACTGTATTGTTGGGTAATATTTTGTGAAGGGATTCAGAGAAACCAGTTAGCAAGACTTGAGTCCCAGGAGGAAGTACAATGCCTGCACTCTAGAGAAGGGGTGGGGATATTTGCTGTTTAGTGACATTTGAAGTTGTATCTGTACACCTCTGGCAAGACAGTAATAGTGTGAATGATGGTGAATGTGTTTCTTTTTTGGATTACACTGCCTTCGTGGGAAACAGCCAGCACCTTAAAAAAGAAAAAAAGAAAAATTTCCATGGGGAAGTGATAAAGAATCCTTCCTCACTATATTATTTCTACAAGTACATGTAAAAGGTATACAATTACATGTACAAGGTATACAGATCATAGCTGACATCAGTGACATACTACTATATAGAAAGCCCCTTGTTATGCTCCGCATTTCGGGCAAGTTATGTCAATTTTGTCCCAGGATGCGACCCACACCAGTCCACTAACACCCAGGATGCCACCCACACCAGTCCACTAACACCCAGGATGCCACCCACACCAGACCACTAACACCCAGGATGCCACCCACACCAGTCCACTAACACCCAGGTACCCATTTTTACTGATGGGGAACATAGACATCCGGTATTAGGAAACACGTCCAATGTTTCTACTCTTGCTGGGAATCAAACCCGGACCCCTCTCCATGCAGAACGAGAGCTTTTAGCCACCAGGACACGGGGCACTAAGTCATGCATGCCGTAAGAGGCAACCAAAATAAATCAATAAATATAAAAAGGAAAACTTTTTTCTTCTTTTTTGGGTCACCTGCCTCAGTGGGACATTGTCAGGGTGTTGAAATGATATAGAAAAGTGTTAGTTACATCTTGAGTCCTGGAAATGGGAAGTACAATGCCTGCACTTTAAAGGAGGGGTTTGGGATATTGGCAGTTTGGAGGGATATGTTGTGTATCTCTATACGTATATGCTTCTAGACTGTTATATTCTGAGCACCTCTGCAAAAGCAGTGATAATGTGTGAGTGTGGTGAAAGTGTTGAATGATGATGAAAGTATTTTCTTTTTGGGGATTTTCTTTCTTTTTTTGGGTCACCCTGCCTCGGTGGGAGACGACCGACTTGTTGAAAAAAAAAAAAAAAAAAAAAAAAAACATCTTGCATAATAAAAAATGCAATTAAATTTAAATAAGATTAAAGAAAAAGTAAAATTTGATAAAATTAAGACATTCAAAAACTTGCAATGCAAACAATGAATACTGCTTTATTTATGCCCTTTATAGCTGTTTCTCGTGATATTTTAGAGGAGAGTACAGTAGAGTGGATCCCAGAGTTTAGAACATAAGAACATAAGAATGTAGGAACACTGCAGAAGGCCTACTGGCCCATACGAGGCAGGTCCTTATCAAAACGACATCTACCTAAAGCTACTCAAGAAACAACTCCCGCACCCCCCAACACCAATTTCAAAAGAATTGACTATCGAATGCTTCAAGTTTCGACCATTTTTCTCGCACCAATTTTGTCCCAAGTATCGAACGTGCCCCGTGTTTCAAACCGCGTACCAGGCCAATCTGCCTGTCCACGCCTGCCTGCATCCCCCATGCAGGCGTTGTGAGCCAGTCTGGCTTTGTTTATGCTCGAGTGAACACTAACCTGTGCGCTCATTTAAGCATTTCACAATTAATTCATTGCGTTTGGTGCTCGTTTATTAAGTGGGGGATGGTGTCTTCTTCAGAGATTTAGGAGATTTGTACAATGTGGAATAGGGTGCAGGCATTTGCTGAAAAATATCACCCTGAGCAAGCTGAAACAACCCCAGATAAGGACTCGTTACCTAGTCTTAACCCTTTGAGGGTTTTCGTCGTACTAGTACGTCTTACGCGTAGGGGTTTTTGACGTACTAGTACTCATAAATTCTAGCGACCTCAAATCTAGTGGGAGAAAGCTGGTAGGCCTTCATATGAAAGAATGGGTCTATGTGGTCAGTGTGCACAGTCTAAAAAAAATCCTGCAGCACACAGTGCATAATGAGAAAAAAAAAACTTTTTCCATTTTTTTTAATAAATCAGCGACTTTGCAGTGTATTTTCGTATGGTATTTATTGTTGTATTCTAGTTTTCTTGGTCTCATTTTATAGAATGGAAGACATATTACTGAAATTGAGATGATTTTGACTGGTTTTACAATGAAAGGTGCCTTGAAATTGAGCTCAAAGTAGCAGAAATGTTCGATTTTTACCAAACTTCAAAAGTAAACAAATCGTGCCAAGCGTGCAATACACGTCAACTGGTGAGTCTAATATTCTTTCACAAGTGCACCAATAATATTTATACCATTTTTTACACTAATGCAGTAGTCTGCATAACAGTAAATCTTATATTTTTTGTGAGAATAAAAATTCAAAGTGGAAAGCAAAAGAATATAAGAGGGGCCTTGAGACGTGACTAATGACTAGAGGAAATGTCATTTTAGTGCCAGGAATGTCTTTCTTGTTTATTCTGGACCCTATTCCGAAATTGGCATCTTTTGAAATTTGTGTGAAATTGGCAAAATTGCTAAATTCTGACCACTGTACTGGATAGTTGAATTTATAAATGGGTGGTTTCTTGCACCCATTCGATAGAAAAAATGGAGTTCTAGCGAAATATTCATGTTTTTTATCGACTAGTACAGTGAAATTGGCCGAAAATGGGGCTCAAAGTGGGCAAAATCGCCGATCCGTAAACATCGCCGAGACCGCTAACTTTGCGAGAGCATAATTCCGTAAGTTTTCTATCAAATTTCAAACTTTTGGTGTCGTTATGATCGGGAAAAGATTCTCTATCTTTTCATAAGAGAAAATAATTTTTTTTTTTTTAAATTTGGCCGACCCTGAGAACGAGTTTCGGAGAGGGCCTGTCGACCCTCAAAGGGTTAATGAAAGGGGATTCCCCTTCCAAAACGTAAGTGCTCCCTCACTCCTCCTCCCTATCTTCCAGATGCCATCAACAATCTTCAATAAAGGAAAGTATAAATGTTATTTTATCTGTTTATTTAAATGTTCATTTATCTCTCACTAACTGTCCTATGTATGTTTGTTGTATGTAAAACTATAATTAATTTCTATAAAATGTATTTTTTTGTGAATATTTTTGGGTTTCTGGAATAGATTAATTGTATTTACATTACTTCTTATGGGAAATATTGCTTCGAGTTTCGAACGTTTCGACTTAGAACTAACTCCTGGAACTGATTAAGTTTGATACTCAGGGTACTACTGTACTTGCACTCTAATGCAGAGATGAGGATGTTATGTCAACACTTCTAGAACGTAAGACAATGACTGAACGATGGTTAATTATTTTTTTTAAGAGGTCACCCTCTACCAGTAGATGTGTCACTGTTTACAACAGGAGATAAGCCATACTTTCAAACAGGAGGATTAACCTTTTCAGGGTCGGCAGGCTCTCTCCTAAACTTGTTCTCAAGGTTGGATAAAAAAAAAAATTTCTTACGAAATGTTAGAGAATCTTTTCCCGATCATAATGACACCAAAAGTATGAAATTTGATGGAAAACTTACGGAATTATGCTCTCGCGAAGTTAGCGGTCTTGACGATGTTTACATATTGGCGATTTCACCAACTTTGAGCCCTATTATCGGTCAATTCCAATGTACCAGTCAACAAAAATCATACCTATTTTGCTAGAACTCCATTTTGTCTATCGAATGAGTACAAGAAACCACCCATTTACCGATTTCAACAAACCAATAACGTGGTCAGAAATTGGCAATTTTGCCAATTTCACACAAATTTCAAAAGATGCCAATTTCCAAACAGGGTCCAGAATAAACAAGACAGACATTCCTGGCACTAAAATAACTTTTCCTCTGTTGACTACTCACATCCCCAGGCCTCTGCTACATTTCTTTTGCTTTCCACTTTGAATTTTTTATTCTCACAAAAAATAGAAGATTTATGTTATGCAGACTACTGCATTCGTGTAGAAATGGTATAAATAATATCAGCGCACCTGTAAAAGAATATTAGACTCGCCAGTTGTCGTGTATTGGACACGTGGCATGATTTGTTTACCTTTGAACTTTTACAAAAATCAAACATTGCTGCTACTTTGAGCTCAGTTTCAAGGTACTTTTAATTGTGAAACCAAT